ATAGCGTCCGGCCCGCTAAGTGGAGCGTTAATAAAGGGAATGCCGTGGCAGGGCCAAGCAGCAGGTGGATACGGGACGGGCTATGGCACGCTGATTGTGTTTACCGGTGCCACGGCATTGGCCAGCGGCGCGACATTCGTCTTTAGAAGGGTAGGATGGATGTGAGTGCCCTAAACGAGTGCCAGATCTCAGGATCATCGATCTATAGGCTCAAAAAGTACCACGCACTGAATTCCTAAACGCCTGACTCGGCAGATGAAATAGCCCCTCAACCTAAAATGCAGAACCCTTGGAATATTGGGCGCACGCCAATGGCAGGGTCCAACTGACACGCCTAGTCTGACTTTTGGCACTAGAAAACGGGGTCGATGAAGTGCTTATGACACCATGCTTATGCGAGTCTTTCGGTGAGCCACTCGGCCGAAATGGGCTGCTGGACTGCGTTCTTTTTCCTGCTAACCCGGGATGGGGCATCGTTGATGAGTAGACAATGCGATACTGACACATGTATATATCTAATCGCCCATGCCGTTTCATTTCGGATGGAGATGTTTTCTCTTTCCATATTCATCTTCTGACGATCATCAACATTACCTTATATATAAATATGTCCCTTCAAGCAGATCACGCGACATCAACGGCCCGTAGCCAAGACTACAAGACTGAAAACGAAGCCCTCAAATCGAAAATCAGCTCTCTACGATGCGAAATCCAAGAGATACAGTCTCTACTTGACAATCACAAAGATTGCAGCAAATACCCTCAAACTACTACAACGGCACTTGACTCGAAAACACAAGAGGCAGCATCTCTCAAGTGTCCGGCCTAAGAGAAACAACGTAATAACAAACTATACAGGAGATTGAGATTAATGCTGACTAGGTGTCTCAGTTTTTCGTTCCAGTAAATGGGTACGGAACATGGGAGGTGTCGGCTGGCGGGAGGGGCTGAGATCGGATCGGCGGGATTAAATTTGGGAGGGCTTTGATACCATGGTTGGAAATTGGAATGACGACGCAATGCCACGATGACATAGAGTGATAATGACACCTTTTTTTTTTTTTCTCTCTTTCTCTTATTTCAAAGAATATGCCTCACACCTTTCTTTTCGTTCCTCGCGGTAAAATCGTGTCACTATTGTCGCATGTCGTTCAGCCCAGGTTGCATCCAAGAGATGGGGTATCCGTACATACATATCGCTTAACGTTAGAGAGTTCACCTACGTCGCACCCGATCTGGAGTAGGTAGTTCCTTGGCGCACGATAGAGTGCGAGGGAGAGTCTCTTGTCGATCGCCGATGCCCTTATCCCGAGAACTGGTAAACATAAAGCCGACGCCTGGTGGGTGGATGGTAACATATTATCCGCATTGGGTTTCACCAATGTCAGATCATATCATCCGGTCTCTCACAGCCCATGCCGATCAGCTCCAGATTAATTAAACGTCTTTTACAATGCTACAGGACGGAGATTATTTTGAGTTTATCAATCGAGGGGTTTTTAGAAAAGTGACAGGTGACATGCTGCAAGCTATGTGCATTCATCACCCTTCGCGATGCTACGATAATGTGCTGTACGCGCCCGTTCGACGCGAATAACGCGGGTGTGTTTTTGATAGACATAGTAAAGTTAAGTTTCTCACATGTCTGTGCGTGGCGGTGTATAATTGGAAGTCTTGATCGTCGACAGGGTCTCGTGAACTTTATGTGATAGCTAAACGAGGTATTTACGGTCCACCCTCCAAGTCGACTACTACCTTGCTGTTCCCGGGAACTGCGGCCTCACTTTTTGATTCCCTGCTCTCAGTGGGATGAGGAGATTTGACTTACGATTACGTCAAATACATCTACTGAAGCATCACCGTGTCATCAGCGTGATTCGGGTTCATCTGGCGGCAACTGTGAGTCTGTGACTATCTGCGGTTTCTGCAGATATAGTCCCCGACTTCCCGCATGCATCGCCATTGTCTAGCCAATAGAAGTTTGAAGGGATGTTGAAGAAGCATCAAGACTTGCATACATTGTGTACGTACCCGGCTCACGGTAGTTGCTACTACTTCTCGGCAAGAGTATGTGTTTCCAGGTTGACATGGCTGTGAGGGCCAGGACGCATTTCCTACAAGGATTGGCTCAACCGAAAACTTGATGGAACTAATAATGCGTTGAGCGTATTTCGGGAATTCTCTTCGAACTTCAGTATCCAGCTCAGTTCTTCCGTTCAACATCTGGCCATACTTGCTAACTCAGCTCTCTCTCTCTCTCTCTTTCTGGTCAGTTTCTGACTCTAATGCCACTTAAATTTCACAAAAGGGATCATTTCAAGTTACTAGCAACAGGATATGGGGTTTCGTATCTCAGACTGTGTTGGTTTAACTGCACTTGTATGAGATACTGGCCGGCAGATGTAACTGGGAAAGGAGACTGCAAACCTGACCGAGGCATTAAATTGCACTGCCTCTTCAGCAGCCACTACCCTATTACACTCTCCGACTTTGTCAACCATTTCTCTTTTTAAACCCCGTTGCCACAAGTGTTACCGTGTGTACATACAAGTGATATGAGTCAGTCAAGAGCGAGCAGCCAGACAGTTAGCAAGTCTGTCTACATATCTTGCAACAGCCTCAAAACGACTGCTTTATTCGTCTACCTCAGACTATCGTCTATCATGGATGTTTGACTCAGCAAGGTGTCATGCTTCTTTTCACCAGTATTTACAGCCTGGTCAACTCAGTAGTGAGACAGTAGGTAATATACATATGCACTGTATCCGGCACTGTGCTCTGTGATCAATTTTGGCCATGAATGAGCAACGATGTGTTGTAGAGCAATTTCCCATCATTAAAGATCATGTAACTCATCATAACCAATCATATTATGGATACCAAGACATTTTATAAAGTTCACGTCTCTATCGTTGATGAATAATCCTCTCCAATCGATAAATGCCGAATGCTACCAGACCCGCTTGCGTCATCGCCACCCTCATCACTCACTCACTAACAAGAAACACTCAACGCATCACCTCACCTCACAACCAACCTCCTCATTCCCTTCTCCTCTCCCTCAAGAAATGCCACACTCTCAAAACTCAATCGATCTCGAACTCAACCGCCTCAACTCCCCCTTCTCCTCCTCCTCCTCCTCCGACCCGGACCTCCCGCTAACTATGGATCCCGCGCCTAAACCGCGCTGGCTCGATCCCCGACCAAGCAGCATCTTCACACGCATCACAACCTCTCTCCAACCCTTTACCCAATATCTCAAACACATTCTCCGTCCGCGCCTAACATTGCGATACGTCGCGTGTTCTGTTATAGGTGTTTACGTGCTTTACTGCTTTGTAACATGGCAGCCGTTCTTCTCGTCGCGATTACCGGCTTATTCGGGACCTCATGACGTAGGGGCCGTTGATCTGGAGATTCCGCTTGAGAAACCGAAGCGTTTGTCTGAGACGTTGCTGAAGAGTACGAAGAAGCCGGCGTTTGAGGTGGAGAGTGTGCTTTTTACGGTTTATTATCCTGCTGTCAAGGGCGCGAGGTCAAAGGGTGCGCTGCATCCTTGGGTGCCGAAGCCGCTGAGTCTTACAGCGGAGGGATATGCGCGCGCAGCGGGAGTGAACAACTTCATCATCCGACCAATCTTCACCTTCGCGCTATGGGTTCTCGTGGGCAGCATCAGAATCCCCGCCAAAGTGGACGTTCCGCTCTTAGGACCCGACGGGGGGAAGTTTCCAGTCATGGTGTTTTCACACGGGTCTGTGAGTTCTAGAACGGACTACACGCACTATCTCGGTGAACTCGCCAGTCGGGGCCACGTCATCGCTGCGCTTGAGCATCGCGATGGAAGTTGTCCCGGCAGTATGGTCCAGATCAAGAACAAGAAGGACAGGCCTGTGTTTCTCATGAAGGAGAGCGATCTCATTTCTGAGCCGCCTATGAACGATACGTTGCTCAAGAAAGAGCAGCTTGCGTTTCGCACGGAGGAGATCATGCAGGCTATTCGAGTCCTGAAGGATGTCAATGACGGCAAGGGCAAGGATATCTTCGCCTCTAGCTCTCGAGGCGAAGGCAGTACATTGAATGGATGGAAGGATCGGTTGGACTTTAAGCACCTCACCATCAACGGCCATTCCTACGGCGCGACAGGTGCTCTTCAAGCCCTCAAGACAGCCAACACCACCGCTGCGAATCCCGCCATCGGCGGTATCGCTCTCGATCCCGGCAAATCCAGCGGTCAGCTCAACACCAACATCCCCGTGCCTCTCCTCGTCGTACACTCCAACTCCTGGTCCAAAACCCACAGCATCTTCTTCGGCCGCCCTCACTTCGATACAGTTCTCGATCTCGTACGTGGCGTGCGCGACAAAGTCGGTTCAGCATGGTTTCTCACCAGCATTGGGACGGCGCATCCCAGTGTGACTGATGCGCCACTCCTCCAACCATTGCTGCTCAACTTTGCGACTGGCGCTACGGCGGATGTAAAGAAGGCGTTGGGGGAGTATGTCAAAGTCACGATGGACTTTTTGGAGTTTACAAAGACGAGCAAGGAGAACGGGGTGCTGGATGAGGCGGTTACGCATGAGAAATACGGGGAGTGGGTTAGCAAGGAAAGGGAGAAGAGTTTCCCCAAGGAGTATGCCAAGTATTGGGAGGTTCACGTCTGTCCGCTCGATCAGGATAAGTAGACACTAATAGTAATAATACACGTTCTCTTTATTTCCATCTAAGACTCACGTCGGTTACATTCATGATACCTCAATTGACGGCATGACCCAAGCGTTCAGCCTCAATTAATGCTATCGGGCGGTGGGATCTCTTCGCAATGTTGTGGCAATGAGCTTGCACAAACACATGTCTTGATACGAAAAAGACCTGCAGTCAATGACTCCTCAGCTAAGATATATACAAGAGTATTGATGACCTGCGGCACCATAACTGCCCACTCTTCACTAAACATTACTCTTCTCATACCGTGTTACTTCAACAACTCGCACATGTGGCCTTCAAAGAAACGCCGCTGGTGAACTACCAAATCCACTACTCCTACCGTCTCCTTGGTTCCGCCGGCTACTCAAAAACAGATCCACCATTGTCTTGCTACCCATCGCTTGAGCATCAGACTCTCGATCCCTCATCATATCTCCCGGCTGTCTCTCTGCTGTCTGAGGTCTGATCGGATACTTCAAGCCAAAGTCTCCTCGAAGAGCAGGTGATCCGGTTCTGGGAGGTTGGGCACGAACCCCAGGACTTGACTTGGTTGGTGAGCCTTGCCAACCAGTCACTCGTGTCCGGGACCGTCTCTTGTTTATAGACTCCTCTGGGGTCGAATTGAGACGTCCTATTGTGTTTAGTGATCGCATACGCGGCATCTCCTTCACCAAGCCTGCGTCTGGGATGTATCCTCTTGGGCCGACACTTGGCAGAGATGGCACCGCTCGCAACGTGCTCCTGGGCGGTATAGATGGGGGCCGCTCCTTGGTATAAGTATTGGCTTTGTAACTCGGTGCTGCATTCTCGTCGTATCCTATCAAGACTTGTCGCGTTGATCGCGTCGGACTGCCTGCGCCTTGGAAGGTTTGTGCATTGCCCTTGACGTTGCCCAGAGGGCTGCGATTCGTTGTCCCATCCTTCGCAGGTGTAAAATGCTCAGGTGTTGAGCCTATAGAAGCGTCTTCCCTAACGTGACCCAGTGTTGGAAGTACGTCGTTCCATTTCTCTCGCTTGCTAGGTGTCAAAGGTGCTTCAAGCTGTGACACTTTTGAGCTAAGCCAGGTCTTCCATTCTACAGAGCTGGCTGTCGATGTATCTCGTTGGTGTTGACGATATGACATTCGAGCAGGAGTCTCTAATGGCGGTACGGGATCATTGTAGATGCAGGTCTCATTCTGTCTCGCGGTGTTCTCCGAAGCTGAATGCATCGGGTTTGCATCATCGCCCGCACAAGAGTAAACACTTTCCGCATCTCCCACCTGCAGGTCCTTACCTGAAGAAGGGCTACTGTCTTGACGCGTAGGAAGGCACAAGGTCGATAGCGAATGTAGATATCGTGATCCCTGGAAAGCGTCTTGTTCTTCTTCAGAGTTCACCTGGCTTGCTCTGAGAGCACGACGATAAGGACTTGGGGAACGGAACGATTGGCAAGAAGGACTTGCGAAAAATGCAGAGCTCCTCTGGGTGATCGTCTTGTGAGGTTCCAGGCCTTGGAGTAGAACACTAGTACGCTCGCTCTCAGAGTGAGTCCTATCGTCGCTCCAATCCAATGCATCTGTGTGTTGGACTGTAGATGTGTGATCGGCTTGGGGCTGGTGCTTGTTCTCGTGCTCGGGGACCTCAGTGGCTGAGCTTGAGCTTCGAGAGGAATTATCTTTATTGTCCCTGAAAACGTTATCATCAGGCCGAACGCACCGAATGGTGGAGCAATCCCATTGTCTGTTGACGGATTGCCCATCACTATCTCCGGTGTTCGTTACTCTGGACTTGACTGATCCTGGTTGAGACTGCAAGATTCTATCCGTCGGCTCCTTGCGTGCGAGTCGCTCCATAAGGGCTGAGTAGACTCTTTCGCTATCAACCGACATGTCTGCAATCATGTCTCTAGTTTGCTGCTCCAGATATTCGATCGATCGAGCTGATGACGGAATATGCGTGCCATTCTCTTTGATCACAGAGAGGCGCTGCCTCTCCCAGTCTCCAATAGTCCCATGGCTTGTGACTGTATTTGTCATCGAGTTCGTCCAGCTGGTGACACGAGACTTGTCATCAGGAATATGCTGGTCGCCGTCTCCAAAGCTTTCAACGCTACCCTTGCGAGACCTGAGCTGCTGGTTGGACGGTACGTCGTGCAAAGAAGGAACATGCGATGTAACATGAAACATGGAGGCTTCTTCGGTCGATTCAACGTCCCCGAGGTGCAAGCAACTTTCTGCATCCGAATCCTTCTCCGCCGCGACTTGTTCGTGTTCATGCTGGCCCGAGTCCTCGGAACTCTTTCCTCTGCCAAAGAGCCCCCGCAGTCGCGATCTGAGACCATGAGACACTTTGCGCGCCGTCTTTCGGATGCCTCTCTGCTTTGAAGCTGAGATGGTGGAAAGGGCCGAGACTGCTGTGTTGTTGCTGTTATTGCGCATCGACTTTCGGAAGGGAGAGTTTTCGCTTTGTGTGTGCTTTGGGCGTAGCAAAGTAGACGCTTGACTCTTTTTCGCATCCTGTTCTTGTATCTGTCGAAATTTCTCTCTAGCAAGTTGAACTGCCAGGTCATGATCATCACCACGACTGCTTGAACGTGACGCCGCCAGCCGTCGCCGGGTTTTGAGGAAGCTCATTGATGTAGAAGCTCTAAGACTGGCATGGGGGGGCATCGCAGCCTTTAGCTGTTCATTTTCGCTATTCGGAGGCAGAAGTCGAGGAACTGGAGGCGGCTGGCGAGTCCTTGCAGACCAAGTCTTGCTAGAAATTGTCCCTGTCTCTGCATGTGAGGAAGTCACCATTGACCGGGACTTCCTGACCTTTTTGTAGGTTGCGGCCATCGAAGCAGCATCTTCTTCTGGGTGGTAACACGAGTCGGGTGGCTGCAGCGTCTCTAGGTAACGTCGGGTAAGGGAGAAGTTATCTGGTCGTTCGTCTTGGAACGACAGCGTGGGTGAGGGTCTGGCGTTTGCGTCCCCGAAAGCATGGATCGCGGAAGTTGCTTTTGTCGGAGAATCTCTTCCACCATTCGCTCTGGGTGCAAAATTCCTGCGTGGGTGAGCTAACGGCCCGGTAAAGCGGACGCTTTTCTGTCGAGTGATGTTTGATCTGCCATGGCCGCTCAGAGCACTGTCAGTCCGCTCCAGGCTGTGTCTGATGACGCTGCCAGTGCCATCACTCCTGTCAGGGTAGAAGCTCGCAGGGTCCCGTGGAAATAGCATTCCCTCACTACTGTCTCTGTCTTGAGCCCGTTGATATGAGACTACGGCAGCAATGTTGGCATCTCGTTCAGCCCTGGCAGCATTGATGGATTCGAGATCGCGGATGGGACTGCGGGTGACAGAGTTGGTGGATTTGCTTCGACTCAGTGGGCGGCGATTCTTCTTTCGAGAGCTGTTACGTCGCAGCATCTCTCATAAATGTTCGGATTTGCAACTGCAAGTAAGAGTTGGGTATCAATGAAGGCTGATCGTAGACTCGAAAACAACAATATGAAGGATAGAGTGATGCCTTGTTGCTCATGGCACCAAATGAACAGAACGAAAGAGAGACATGGCAAAGAATGACTCAACACACTTGAGATAAACATGAGGAAGGAACGAGAATGCTGTTGTATCGTTCGAAGATGGAAGGAACTATTCGCAGTTGAGCAACAGCGAAAGAACGTTACCTCCTCCACAAGCGCCTCCACTAAAGCACCTATCCTCCTCACCCGCCTTATCGGTGGTAGTCAGATAGAACACAACATTCACATGAACAGCACAGTACAGAAAGCAGACATCACGATGGATAAGATTGATCTTGTAATAAGGAGATGTATTGTAATAAGCAAGCCTAAATCTAGCATGCCCCATGGACCAACCCATGCATTCAAGCGCACAATGTGATGACAACTGGTCATCAAGAAGAGCAAGCGCCCCTATCAATGTCATGTAACCCAAACCAAAAAGACCCATAACAATCCGTAATCCCAACATAATGTGTACCCAATGCACCCAGTGATAAGATTATAGATCTTACAGGTTGAGCTCCTTGAGGAACTGCTCAAGCTCCTCATCGACGAGCTCGTGGATCTTCTTGGAGAACTTCTCGGCCTTGGAGCCAAGCTCCTTGGCACCAGTGGTCAGCTTGCCAGAGACGAGGTTGACCTCCTGCTCGACAGCGTGCTTGATCTCCTCAACGCGAGAAGAGGGAGCAGCCTTGACCTTGTAGCTACCAGCCTCAACAATCTTCTTGTAGTCGCTGCAGCCACCGCCGTTCCAGGCGAGCAGGTTGGGGGTGTCGGAGGGAATGTCGGAGAGAGCATCCTCAGTGGCGACGGAGATGAGGTTCTCCTTGAGCTTCTTGGGGGTGATGGAAGCAAGGGCGTACTCGGAGTCCTCAGCGGGCTGAAGAGAGAGGTAGTAGGCGAGGAGACCAGCAATGTGGGGAGAGGCCATGGAGGTACCAGAGATGGTGTTGACGGCGTACTTGGAGCCAATCCAGGTGGACTGAATGTTCAGACCGGGGGCGAAGATGTCAGTGCACTTTCCGTAGTTGGAGAAGTAGGCACGGCTGTCATCGAGAGCAGAGGCACCGACGGTGACGGGCTCAGAGGCGGCAGCGGGGGAGTAGTTGCAAGCATCAGCGTTGTCGTTGCCAGCGGCGACAGCAAAGTGAATACCAGTGCGGACAGCGGCGTTGACGGCGGCATCGAGAGCCTGGGTCTTACCACCACCAAGAGACATGTTAGCGACAGAGCCCTTGAAGCCCTTGCGCTTACCGTCCTTGGCCTTCTTCTTCTGCTCGAGATGGCTAGTGGCAGCGAACTCGACACCCTTCACAACGTCGGACATGGATCCGGAGCCGTTAGATCGGAGGACCTTGACAGCATAGACGTTGGCCTTCTTGGCAACACCGTACTTCTTACCGGCGACAGTACCGGAGCAGTGAGTACCGTGACCGTTGCCATCCTCATCGGCATCGCCAGAGGGAATGGTCTTACCCCAGTGGGCACGACCCTCGAAGTCAACGTGGTCGACGTTGGTACCAGTGTCAACAATGTAGGCATCGACACCCTCACCACCATCGGAGGAGTAGAGGTACTTGTTGAAGGTACCGAAGTTGAGGGTGTTGCGGTGGGAGATACGGGCAAGACCCCAAGGAGCCTGTCGCTCGGTCTCGCCGTCGCACTTGTCCTCAGTGATCATGTTCTGCGAAACAGGGACCATGGTGTGGACAAGAGTGTCTCGCTCAATGAACTCGACCTGGTTGTTGTTAGCTTCTGATGATCATGAGGCATAATCGGAGGTTCTTACGTCAGGGTGGTTTCGGACCTTCTCGATCATGGACTCGTCAAAGTGGCCGGCATAGCCCTTGAAGGCATCACCGATGTCAAAGGTGTGCTTCAAGCCAGAGAAGGTCTTGTCTGTGAAAGGAATGGAGCGCTTTCGCAGCTCGAGGCGCTCAGTCTCGCCTTGCTTGTGTGTGTCTTGAACCCACATGTGATGGTCGCTGGCAGCGGCATGATCAACATGGTCCTTGAACTTGATGATGTAGGAGTCTGGGATGGTCTCGGCATCGATGGAGCTGAGGATGGGAGCGGCCTTGTCGTGGACTGTGCCGACGCTGAAGGAGGCAGCGCTGGCGACAGCCGCCATAGAGAGGGTGAAAGCGGACTTCATGGTGACGAAAGGCGCAATGACGAAGCTGAAGCGACAAAGCTTGTGTTTGGTCTACCTGCGACTCAAAGACAGAAAACAAATGGACAATTTGATGTCCTCGACCGTCTGAATAGATGGAATCAGACGAGATCGATACTGCAAAGGATGGGGAGAGAGATGATGGATATGGATGAGATGATGAAAGGAAGAAGAAGCGATGGCGGCAGCACCTGGGGTAGATAAGCAAAGCACGAGCAGCGTGCGACAGCTCCAGTGTTGCCTCAGCGGGCCTGGGGGACCCGGCAGGAGGGTGTGACGCATCCATCTCTAGGATGGGCGATAACACAGTGGCTGAGGACCGAATATGGTTTAGTGCGTGTGCTAGAGGACCAATGGCCGTCACCGAGGCAATGCGATAACGGCACCTGTTTGAGCCAGGTACCTCTTAGCTCTCATGACGGACAGTGTGAGATTTTGGCCATGCACTGAGTTCAGAAGGCCGAGGCGGGCTACAGTTCAGCCGTCTTGACCCGAGGAATGGTCATGATGAAGATGATGAGCCTGTTATGGGCGTTTCTACTGAGAGTCAAGGATATACAGTGATTGTACGGGTACCCATTCACCGCTTCTGATCGTTTGAGAGTCAACTGATGGCGAGTGATTGCCTCATGTTGACGAAGGCTGACAACCCGGTCGTGTTTGTCCGCCTCGTTTCGAGTCATGGATCATGGATAGGCTCTCGGTAACGGGAGCGAACACGACATCACTGTACTGAAGGTTGAGAGCAAGATTTACTTCTCTTGCAAGCTTATTCGTTGATCATTCAACCTTGTATCAAACTTCACAAGCTAGAAATGTGTCCTTTCCATTATATTCCAGAACGTATCCTCATCTCAACGGAATATTCGCTCCTCGAGGCTGATCCATTACAGTTACTCAGCCATAAACAGATACAGTTCATCATGAATACGCAAGCTCCCTCACACTGTGCTACCTCAGGCAGATCAAAGTATCCTGATCGCGCCGAAACCAAGATCCACCCAGACAGGGTGAGCTTCAATAAGTCAGGTACCTTCCAGTTTGCGGTGTTTGCAGCCAAAAGCAGGTGTCTCTCTACCCAGTGCTAAAACGCAGAATGCGGGGAGCGCCTTGGCTCCGATTGGCCCCCACTGACCTAATCCGCCTGATCCATCGAGTCAGACGACGTCCCTGGCACGTGCCCAGTGTAGCATGCCCATGTCTCAATTCGACTCTCAAGCGCTGTTCGCTCCAAGCCAACGCCAGCAGCGCCTCACCATCCCAGTCCGTTCCCAGGGTTAAAAGTGACCTTTTGTCTTGGGGAGATTCGATTCCTTGGAAAGACAACACGGCAGAGCAGACGTCATGATTCACTATGCGAAATTGATAAGCTATTTCACGGTTCTCACCAGGCACCCAGAACTTCCGGGGCTCAACGTTGGCCAGTGCTTTGCTCTCTGTCAATGCACGCCAGGCACCTTGAGCTCCAAGCTCGGGTGAGGTACATACGCATGCGTAGCGCGTCTGCATCTGGTACAGAGCTCTCGGGGAGCTCTCCACTCTCTAGTATCGGCAGCGATTTGTTATCTTGCCGGCTCAGATAACGCCATTAAGCAGCACTTGTAGCTCATTCTGGACGTCGGACGACCGAGCTGCTCAACAAATTGTCTGTTTATCAACTCTTATCCAGTAGATAAGCTGATTCCTTCCTGTTTGAGATAAGGACCAACGGATCTCGGAACATCCATGGTTTCAATTATCCCATGATCGACAAAGCTCCTGATCTAATGATGAAGTTTAGCTAAATTTGTAAATAACAGCCCGTCTAGACAGTACAAGTTTTGGTGAATTAACTTAATACTTAGGCGATTAGGCGAAAGCAACACTGAAGTCAGATACCTTATTTTGTAAAGTCGTCAATTTTTCGAAGTGTCCATGGTTCTATAGCCCGCCATGCTTATAGATGCATGCACTTGGGGCTGAACAGCAAGACCCTGATTTGAGGCCAATGTCGCATTCGAAGCATGTTGCCTATCTGAGAAAGCCATGTTAATTGATATGGACATTCACAGAGAGAATCTGCGGCTGCACGGTATCTTATCTCAGACTTCCTGATGTTGACTGAACCCACCATAGTCTCCATTTCGGAGCATTTTCCATTTGACAAGCATTCTTCTAAGTTGGATATGCTTATGCAAGACCGATCATCAAAGTGACAGCAAAGACCATGATTTACACGAAAGCGGCAAATATGTATACGCAATTCCATATCTCAGTCTACTGAAAACAAAGAGAACAGGACAGTTGTTACACAATTCGTGGCATCTGCATGACATGCAGCATGTTCGTACAAGCTACCCTGAACCAAATATCGACGTCACCGAGACATGGCGTTTCAAACAAGACATTGTCTCGAGTATCAACACCACTATTAATCCATAAATCGCGATGAGTGAGCCGATGTAGTTGATCTTCTCCAAAATCCTCACATTCAAACCCTCCTCCTTATGCAGGTGTGGAGGTTTCCATCAGGTGCTCGCGTTCATGTCACTCCAACACCGTGACTCGAGCTTCGTCAGCTCAGGCGATCCGCCCAAAAGTAGTGGCACTGAACTGAGAGTGAGGGGCCGCCTCGCCACAGCCAAGCCACACCTCCAAGGCTGACCCCGAGTTACAGTATGAGCACAGGTAGTCCAGGCTCCAGTCATGACCGTTTGTTTCAAGACACCTTCGCTAGTTTTCAGCTTCAGAGTCCGTTTGACAAGTTCGAGCCCCGATACCTCCCGCCGATCTTCCTCACAAACCGCCGAGCCCCCGTGGTCGTGTTGTGTGTGCTGTCCTTCCCCCTGCCAGAGAGCTTCATGCGCCCCGCGCCGGTAGCTCCAACAAGTTCTAAATCTTACTCTTCGATGCCTACGACGACTGATAACGGCCTGGACCCTTGAAGGGCTCAGGAGGGAAAAGGTTGCTTCTGGAATGAACCCGTGATTAAACAATCCACACAATGGCCTCAATACCAAGAAGATACCGGTCGTCCACCTCGGCCTCAAATCCTCCGAACAGCAAGTCCTTCGAGATAATAAAGGGCTTGCTCGAAGCTCTGAACCTCGATACGACTCTACACAAGCAAGACGGATACCCTCAAATACCGCCATTGTTACGGAAACTCCGACATATTATACAGCATATTTCTGCGACGCACTCGCCTGTCCTTCAAGATGACTTTCGACATGCCGACGGCTTCCAAACCATCCTTAATCTGCTACGAGCCTTCTCAGGCTACTACGACCCCGATAAGCGAAGTGATGCGGACATGCTTGCTCTGTTTAAGCTGCTAGGAGACTGTCTCAACCTTCTTTCTGGGGCGCTGCGTGGACATTCAGGGAACCGACGATTTTTCCGATATCGAGTCGAGGGAGGCGGTTGGGAGGCTTTAGAACAAGTTATCGCAAGCATAGGACTCGGCGGGGCTGAGCCTGATGCCTGGATAAGCTGTCATGTCTTTGGCAAGCTGCTCGCCTTTTCCCTCGACGACGAAGCACTCGATCTTCTATGCCAATCAATCGCGAAATCACTACGACCCGACGACGAGAATTCCCCAAAAGAAGAAGAGGATGATGGCGCCGAAGAACAATGGGATCTTGTGCTGGCCAAGTCTGCCGAGAATATTACACCTGGTGTGAAGGAGGTTGTCAATGCCAAAACCATAATACGGCATCCTGAGATTCTGAGAGCAGTCGTCAGCTTCTGGATGGCCATTCCCCGAATGAAAGATGGCCTTGCAAACCCCGCTTCACTTCTCGTCTTGGAGACAATGCACAATATTATCGCGGTTTCTATATATAATCGAGCTGCCGTGCACTCGACGGGTGCCTTATCACAATTCCTACGGGTCGCCTTCAATGCCGATTCAGCACTGAGCCCGCCCGAACGAGAGAAGGTTTTGGGGATTTGCCGAATGCTCATGTTTTTGGGTGTGAATGAACCTGCCGATACACAATTCCTCTTATCAAGGCCCGGGTCTGAAGCGTCCGAGTTCTGCTTACAGATGACATCGAAACATTCCGGCCCCCCATTCTTCCAATTCGATCTCTCATTACACGGCCATTCGTCCCTTGAGTTGTCGAGTCTTGGTCGATCGTTCCCACCGCAGTCCAGTGCAGGTTACACATTTACAGCGTGGATTCGAGTAGACAGCTTCGATCCTACTGCACACACAACAATATTTGGTGTCTTTGATTCCACGCAAGCATGTTTTCTGCTGATGTATCTTGAGAGGGATACTCACAACTTTATCTTACAAACATCTGTTACCTCCAACAAACCTAGTGTCAGATTCAAATCTGTTTCATTCAAGGAGAAGAAATGGTACCACATTGCTATTGTGCATCGCCGACCAAAAGCATTAGTTACTAGCAAGGCGTCACTCTACGTGAACGGTGAATTCTCAGAACAAATTCGCTGCAACTATCCCCATCTTCCACCTTTGTCAAATGGTGCCCATGATAGCTTTGCCTCATTCAACTCGAACCAGAACAAGACGAACCCAGTGCAGGCATTCATTGGTACGCCGAAAGACCTTTCGAACCAGATTGGACCTGGCCTCGTGTTTTCGCGCTGGTCACTTGCTTCGGCGCACTTGTTCGAGGATGCCTTGAGTGATGACTTCTTGGCAGTTCATTACGGTCTCGGTCCGCGATATCAAGGCAACTTCCAGGATAGCTTAGGAGGCTTTCAGACCTATGAGGCATCAGCCACCTTGGGTCTCAGAAACGAGATCGCACATCCTGGGAAGGGCGAGACTTCGGACATTATAAGAGCTGTCCGCGAGAAAGCTGGCTCGTTACTACCCGAATCCAAGATCCTCCTTAGCATTCTTCCTTCAGCCACGTTTCCAGAAAATGTGCAATTCTACGACACAGGACTATTGAGGTCACTCCCACGAAACTGCGCTCGCAATCTCTTCCGTGCATCAAACCAGGAGGGTGCCCCTCTCGCGATCA